GTAGCTTTCCACTTTTTAACTTCAATCCCGAACAATCGCACGCGTCTCTCGGCAGAGAACACGGCTTTTGAGAAAATCCATTTTGACGGTGCTAAGAAGAAATCGCTGCATGGCCGGACTGACATAAAAGCGACTTTACCCGAACAGTCAAAGCGATTTTCGCTTATTCTAATGAGTCACTACCTAAATTTGGCGAATGGCTCAACGTTCAGACATCATTATCTGATGAAAAAAAAATCCTACAAGGCCTCTAAGATACGTTGGACAATGTTCTTGCCCAACGAACGGGATAGGATCTTGTTTTTTATATCAATACTTATTTCAGGAGATGTATAGCAGTCATCATCGTTACCATTCATAAGAGCCTACATTTTTGAATAAGTGCTCTCATATACAAATTTTGTTGCCATTTTAAAGTCGCCAAATGCGTAACACTACTTCAAATGCCCTTTATCAGGACATCCTAAAAGCGGATTCTCAAAGCTGGCATTACTGCCTTATCATTAGAGTAGGTTTGAACCGATAACGTACATCCCACAATAAGCAATGTGCAAGCAACCTTATTGTTTTAATTTCTAACCTGAAACACCACATATCTATAAAGAAAAAACTTTCAAAGGGTAAATGCTTAAATTGCACTAAAATTCATTTCCATTGCTTTGCACTTATATTCGAGAAGTTGATCGAATGTTTATTTCAGCGGATTCTTGAAAGCACTATAAACATCACAAAGCCATACCAGTACGATATTATTTCGCAATGGATTGGCACTGGGTTACTCACAAGGTATGAACACTTTAAAGCTGCAATAAGGAGGTAATTTTGTTTGACTTTTTTGTCAACAATTGAAATTCTTTATAGTCTTAAATTTGATTTATATTCTTTGATTTAATTTGAAATTGGAGATTGCGTATCAACATTGATTTTTAGGGCAGTTTCTCGCTTATTTCCATAGGGTTTGAAAGAGCTGGAGAAAAGAAAGCTTTGTAGCAATTTTAAGATTGTGGAGTACCATAGTTAATTTTTTGACCAAACGTTTGTGCGCGTGATTTATGCAGTCGCAAACAGACGTATTAACGTAGCGCTATCACTCTTATTTCTAGCACAAACGAAAAATGGTCCCGGAGGAGAAAAATGCTCACTCCCACATTCCATTATAACATTCTTCAAGAATACCATGAAATATTCGCACAGCAAGGCGAGGTAACATATCATAGGCGAGATTATATTGATCAATGTGCCACTGCGATAATGCTGGATCTTTCTAGATCCTTGTTGAGCTCATTGCTAAGGAAAAAGAAGATTTCGACTTGTTCCCTTACGTAAAACGATGCGCGCTTGATATCATATGTGGTAAGTCACGACTGGTTCTCATGAGTTAATTTTAATCTGACTGCGAAAAG